AAGTCAAAATCAAAGCTTGCACTATTCCTGAGCAGCACCATGGATTTTTGTCAGTGATGACACCAGTTTTTCTAGGTTTGCTACTTAACAAGAGGAAATATTAGGATTCATGTTCTATTAAAGAAATCTTGGTTTATTTTTCTATTGCTTATATTTGCATATGAGTAAACACCAAGCATCCAATATTATCCAGACTTCAGTTCTTGATCTCTGATCTAACATAGACATTTATGAAAAGGGGAGAGGAAAGAATTGTACTTCTCTAAATCTATATTGGAAGATTAAGAACTACATGGGAGGTGGCTTGAAGACCTTAAATAGAAAGAGAAATAAGAATTTTTTCCTTCCCCTACTTGCCTTTGCAAAGCTTCATTGGATCAAAGACCTTTCCAGGACCTGAAAGTCTCTTGAGCAAATGGAAGGAATACTAGTAGACACAACCCATAGATTCTGAAGAAAAAAAAACCATGCTTACAAACAACAACAAAAAGCCACACATGTTGTAGTAGACATCATCTTAGAAAGAGGCGCTGTCACCTAAGTGAGAAAAAAGGGAAATGGGGATTGGTATCTACATTTCTTGTAATTGTTTTTTAAAGAAACAAAACAAATAATCTGCTGTTAAATTAATCAGGGGGCGGTGTGTGTTTTTTTTTTAGTAGATTAAGGTTCAATCCTATGCTTATATTTGACAGAATTAAGTCCTTTGAATCCCAGCATCCCTCAGCCAACCGTGTAGGATTTGTTTCAGTCTATATGCATAGAATTGTGCCTTAAACAGTAATTATTTGATTAGCCAAGGCCTAAGTAGAATGTATCAATGTAGAACTGTTCACTTTGTTTTCTACCAGTATTTCTAACAGCATATGTCAATCATTTTTAATGTCTGATTCCCAAAGAACTGAGTTAGAAAGTTTTTACATTGGTTGGATTATGTGTCTGTTAAATTCCTTTTTGAAAATAAAATTGTATCAGATTGAATGACCAGAGAAAACACAGACAGGTATGCACGAAGCCAAGGTACTCTGTCCAGCTTTTTTCTTCACTTAATGAGGGACCAAAAACCATCTCCAAATTTTGGATTAATCTTTAAGGGCCTGCAGTACTTTTGGGTAGGATATTTACATTTTGATGAAATGGCTGAAGAGACTTTTGTTCTTTTAAAACTTAAAAAACCTTCTAAGCTTCCACTCCAAGATTCCATTGGTTACAGTTCAGTTTGCAAATACCTACCAGAATTACTCATATGGGTGATGCTACATCATGGCAAAACTTTGCTTCTTTAGCTAAAGAAAAAAAAAAAAAAACCTCTCACTTACCACACACTGAAATGTACATTGACGCTTCCACCTGAAAGTGTTGTGACTCCTACCTGCCTGTCCCACCCTGAAATACCTAGTGCCTCGCCTAGCTTCATGAACAATGAAGGCAAGGGGAAATTCTGCCTTGCCCAAGTTATACCATTCAGTGATAACATGCAATGGTGCCATGTGAATGGAAATTCAATGTCCTTTACAGTTCAGCAACATCATAGGAAGGGAAAGGGAAATAAATTATTTCGAAGAGCAAATGAAGAGAAAATAGCAACAAGAGAAAGTAATAACAAGAAATCATGAATTATTGTCATAGCCTAAAGAAATTATAATTTTGAATGTAGGTAATGTATGGAGGAAAAGCAACACAAAGAGAACAAACAGTGGAAGACAGTGTCTTCTTTTTTGTGTTTTGTTGGTAGCACCATCAATTTTTATTTGATCTTTCTTCAAGCATGTCTTTCAATCCAGCAGCACTTCTGTGGCACAACAAAGAATACTTTGTATGGATATGGGGTTCCAGACGCAAATCTTGCTCAGTCAGGAAAGCTTTTCACTGGGTGGCTTTAGTCCCTGTACTGCCTCTCAGCTGAACCTACCTTGTAGAGATTGTTGTAAGAATAAAACGGACAAGGATGTAGGCCAGCATTCACCAGGTTCAAAGAAAATGAGATACTTAAGCTCAAATATATAAAAAATGAGTGATCATATTTGACAAACAAGCAGATTTTCTAGATCTTCCCCTTTTAGTTTTGGCTGTCCATCAGTTTGAAGCCAAGAGCATTATAGTATAGAAAGTTTGCATAGCTCTTATACTGGTCAAGCTAAATCTTGTTTAGATGTATACATGTAGCAGTGATTTTTGTCTGTTGTTTGGTGATTGATAAAAGTAGCTTTAAGTGGCTTGTTTAATATGATTTATTATTGGCATTTATATATTGCTGTGTTTGCTAAAAGTTCATTGAGGCAGTATAGAACGATTTAAACCAATACAACCCTAAAACATTAAAATTAAAATCAAAAAGTAGTTAAGGGCTTTTGTTAAATCTCAGTATGTACAACATTTGCCATCATTATACTTGAAATGTCTCAAAAATTCTCATTGTTTTCAGTAACAACTGTGGACACTATTCCATCCTTTCCCTCATTTTGACTTTCACATCCCCCTCTACCTCCTTCCCATTCCATTTTATAGTCCTTTTCAGACATAAACATTAAGGGGAAGCAATTTTGATTTCATTTCTGAGTGGTGCTGCAAAGAAAAGTAACAAACATCTGTTTTTGCCTTAACTGCATCCATATGTTCAAACTTTCTAATACTGGTCTCTGAAGAAATTTACAGCCCTATTTGGTGGGCACTGCATGCTATTGAATTAACTTTTTTTCACAGTTAAAACAGAGCAGAGTTTAATGTGTGCCAAGGCTCAACTAGACTCATCCCTGGTTGCTGTTTTTAACATTAGGGCTAAATCCAGAAATAAAGGAAGTAACTCAGAATTGTTCCTGATCATGTACAGAGTTCCTTTGCCTCATAATCACTAATCAATTGAATCCACATGTTTTGCATTAAAGGATAAACTTTCAGAGCAGATGGTATGGCTCCTGGGCAGACTTGGGACCCCTACACTTCTCTTCTTATAAACTGAGTATTGGAATAGTTAATATGTTCAGAAACTGGAGCTACACATTCAATTAAAAGCTAAGTTCCTCCCAGGAAAGTCTGCTTTTCTCCAGGCTCTGGGGAGTCTGCCAGAGATAGGAGAAGCAGATAAATCATTTGACATTACCAAATAATCAACTGAGTGTGTGTGTGTGTGTGTATACTATTGCCAGCATAAGTGATCCATATTTAATCATTAGTCTCTTTACACATTTTTCAGTCTAATGTGCGTAAAATGTTATATACCATTTGCAGAAAAAGTAATAATGGAATGTGGAAAGGACTAACTTAGGCAGCGTTGTTACATCCTGTACTTTAAGCCAGACCATGGAAGTTAGTTCAACATCTGTTCTGTTATCATTACAAAATGGGTTCCCCATTCATGCTTCACATCATTGACTGTTGTGGGCACTGACATGCATAGACAGCATAAAACTACTTGAGGTATGTTGGAGTTGGGAGAGCTAGATTTGACATAGGAGGAAAAGGAATTAGCACAGGGCTGCCATTTTGGAAGCAGTCCCATGTTGTCTGAAACATGTAGTTGTACCCTTGTGTTGGAAAAGCAAAAGAGGTTCTTATGGCCTTCATCTTTGTACATGTAACCTTAGGTGTTAAGGAAATTCACAGAAGGAAAGTTTCTTGCCTTATCCCCCATAGCCACCAGCAGCCCTAAAAGACGGTTTCTTTGGAGTCAGGAGCCCATACAGAATAAACTGGAAGGAGAATGGGAACTGGGCTTCTGAGAGTACAGGGAAATGACTCAAATCAGACTGGGTTCTTAAATTAACCTAAGAAAGTCTACAGAAGGAAAATTCCCCATTTACTTTTCTGCTGAATCCTATCTTCAGGATGTCCCCTTCATCCTCTGGAGAGCCTTTTTTGGTGCTTCAGCTAGTTGCAGTGGGGAAGAAGGAATGAGTAACTTCCTTTCCATGAACTTGTTTACATTCACATATTTTAGGATACAAGTCACTAGTGTCCCATGACTGGGTTATTTCCAAATGTGCCTTCTTAGCCTGCTTAGTACTGCTCCCCCAAATCTTTTGGTTTCACTTGGAGAGACCACCCACATTGGGTTGGAACTGTCACAGTCATTTAGTGTAATAATTTAATTTCCCAATGTAAGCAAATCATTAAAACAAATTTTAAAAATTGCTGTGATGGTGCTGTGTATGAACCTTTATCTGGAGCTCTTATGTAAGGCCCCTAAATGAATGGGTTAGATCCAAGTAGCCTAACTGCACACACAATTGCAACCTTAGACTAATTTTGTATAATGGCAAGAAATGGGAATCCACATGTATCACTGTATCACAAAATTATGGTTTTAATGCATTAGGTATCATTAATTAAACCCAATTTTATTTAAAAAGGGCAGAATCCTATGCCTGTTTAGAGAGGGAAAAAAAGTCTTACAGTTCTCAGCATTCTCCAGCCAATATGTCCCCAGACAGCCTACATGACTTCTGTAAAAAATATCCAAATGGAAGTGATTTAAATTTTGATGGAACATTTTTATTACATGATATGGTAGAAACATCTTCCATTTTATATAAGTAATTCTGCTGAATAGTAGTGTTTCCTTTTTCTGCTTGGGGTAGGCTGAAAGCCAAGCCTCAGTGCCTACTTTGAGGTACTCAAATCAATGTTTAATTTTTCTTAATACATGCAAAATATTAACTTTTTTGCCTTTCTTCATATGAAGTAGAATAAGCAAGTTGCAAACAAATAAAAACGGAGCCTATAAGGAGAGTTCCTGATTGTAATAGCTAGTCTCTGTTTAACATCACAGAACAGAAGGAAGTTTTGCAGTTTCTCATGGAAATAGCATTGAGAGTACTAAAAAGATTACCTCATCCTTAATACCAGTGCCAAGCACTTAGCCCCACTGTGTGCACACGGGCTTCATTTTCAAGATGAAAAAAAAACCAGAAGTGTGGAATGACATTTTCAGGTGACAGTTATGGTTCTATTGCCTGTAATTAACACCTCTTAACATGCAAACCTTTGTATGTCTTTTCCAGGCTGTCGAAGCTCAAATCCGAAGTTTTGGACAGACACCTTCTCAACTGCTCATAGAGCCACATCCTCCAAGAAGCTCTGCTATGCAGGTGGTAAGCAGAACATTAATTCTTTGTGAATAGTCTGCTTTTAATTCTCTCTCTTTCTCACACATGGATGCACACCTACTCACACACACAGTATAGTTCTTTTTCCTAAATGATATAACATGTATTTTTTTTCTGTACACTTAAATCAGGTATCAAACAAGGTTCATGTTCAAAGTGAAATCCAATACAATGCTAAATCAAGGTGGAAGTGGCAAATGGGTGGAAGGTAACACGCTTGCTTTCTTCTACATCGCCACACAAATTACCCAGGACATTACAAGTCGGGTATATATATTCAGATCAGTGATAGATTTGCCATTTTATTACTGGATGTGGAAAGTATCCAATGTGTGCATGGGTTTTTTTTAATGAAGTGTCACATATTACATATGTTTCTGTCTTGAGTGTGCTCACAGATATTTGCCTGGTATTTAGATCTATTTTTAGTATATAATCTGCAAATACAAATTTCTGTTACTCTAGGATAATGGGTGCTTTGAAATATATAACAAGTCAAGAGTATTTGAGCCACAATTTTTCTATATATTGGATTAAGAGATGGCAAATACTTTTGTAAAACGTTTTTAACATTTAGTTCCTGGTAATTAGTTGCACTTATACAAAGCAGAAAATGAAGAAAGAGATGGGCTAAACTGAAGAGAAAATGTGTATATCTTCTGAGGTTTTGGTGGGAAGCAAAAAACACAAGATGGGTTTCCAAAACTGAATCCTAGTTACTGCTAGTCATCTTGGTCAGAATCACACAGAAAATTAAGCTTGTTTAGGCCTGTTAAGTCTGTTGGATTCAAACCATTCTCAGTTGCAAAGTTACTCAGATTGCAGCATCACACAGGTAAACACTTTGGTATGAATGCACCAATAATGTATGAGATGAAAATACTGTCTGTTTGCAAAATAATATGAGAATCTAGAAACTGATTCAAGGATTGTCTTTTTAAAATTTCAAAAGTAAGGACTGATTTCACACATTGTTTTCTTATTTACAGACTACATAGATTTCTCTTTTCCCTCTCACTCCTTCTCTCTCTCATATATGTGAACACATGTACTGTACCAAATAGTAGTGAGATTTTGTTAGTGCTGTGCACTTTACAGCTTTTACAGAAGGCGCATATGTGATTGGATGTCTTTAAAAAGGTACATGCACATAATCAGTTTTACATTAAGATTCACACATTTTACTTTCCCAGCAATTGTTGGTTGCTAGCCCAGGTGCCATTTTATAGATATATGTGAACAACAGAATTTGAGTACAAGTGCCACTCCCCCTTGCCTCCTTGGCAAAAAGTCCCCTGTCTTTCCAGATGCATTAGTACTTTGGCTTTCTCCATTACAAAATCAAACATTTTACCACCATAATGATTGGGGTAATCACTAAAAGTTTCAATGTGTTCTTTCTGGGTTATGTGGGGAGAAGAAATTAAAGGCACCATGGGCTGTGTTAAGTGCACAAGCCATAATATGCACCAGGTGTAGTAATTAGCAGTCACATGAAGGCTGCCTATTTGTCTGGTTTGGCTGCTGTTGCTGTATCCCCTTGTGTTTTCACACCATCAGATAGCTGGATTTAATTGAGGCCACATCAGATGAGGCATTACTGACACCTTTAATTGAATGAGCATCCAGGGAGGATTAACTCATAATATTGATTGGCTTTTAGCCACTTGCTCAAAAGGGTGTCTGGGTAGCTTATTAGTTGTTTTTATTTACACCTTTATACAAAGACTGTAAATAGGAATTCATAGTGCAATATGTTTTTCTAACTACTCTAAATAACTTTTTTAAAAGGAGTGATAATAAAAATGCAAATACACTTAATTTTTTATTAGTTCTATATAACAATATGTTAACTGTGCACTTTATAACATAAAATGTTATATGTATTAACATTTGTGTGCAAGTATTTTAATGTTGTTGATGACAAATGAGCAAAAACCATTACCAGTGTATTCAAATCCATAAAGATACTTTTTTATTAAGAATTAGTTATTCAGCCGTATTTGCAGGTAATAGTAACAGACCATGAAGTAAAAGCTCCACATAAAATATCAATTTCATTCAGCAAACTCTACCTAATTGACAAACCGTTCTTTGATTGGTATAACGATTACATGGTATCAACAAAAAACACAAAATATGAGTGCCACTTTTGTTGCAATAGTATAACCTAGAGACTGCAAGCATATACTTTCAGAAAAGTAATTTAAATTTGATTTCCTACTTCAGGTCATTACCTATTTTTGAAGTAAATTGCATTGACCTGATAATAATATTACATAAATCTCAAAGCACCCATTCTCTTAGTATAATTTATTCTAGAATTTATTCTAATTACTTTCATAGTCTTATTTCATCTTTATCCAGTGTCATATTATTTTGTGTGTGCTTTCAAACATTTTGTTTTACTGGAGTCCTGGTTGCAATCTTTTTAACTACCTTCACTGACAGCAAATTTTAAAGGTGTGCATATTATTGTGCTGCATCCTTACTAAGTGAGGTCTCATTGAAATAAATAGGATAATATAGTCAATGTTTCTCTTAAGTACTATCGATTTTAGTGTGAACTAAGTGCAACTAAAGTAGAGAAGTTCGACCCACTAACATCAAGCTTTCATTTATTCTTCAAAACTTAGTGGTATAGGCTTGAATTTGAACTTACAGAACATTCTCACAGGTTGAACAGAAGAGGTGGATTTCACAATTTCCCCTTCCTCTTGGAGCCCCATATATGCTTTGAAATGTGTTCCAGAAGTTTGAAAGATCCTCTAGAGCAGCATTAGAGTTGGGAAAGCAGAAAATCACCCAAAGCAATGTCTTCCTCCTCTCCTAATGTGGATAAAAGTCACTTCAGCTTATGGAAGGGCAACAATATGTAGAGATGGAGCCTGTTTCTCTCAAAACACAGCATTCCTAGTTAGAAAATTAATACTCAGAGCGTGAACTAGATGAAGAATTGGGGTTGGAATGTGGCAAGGAAATGTCAAGGTTCGTGAGCAAGATTTGTCAGAGAGATGATCAGATCCAAACCTTGGGTTTATTTACATTTCTTTACATTCTTGATATACTGAACAGAAAGGTCTGAGGTGAGGGATGTGAATTCATTAATTCAGTGAGCCAGTTTCAAACCAAACAGGTGGACCAATTAAGTAAGATTCAGCATTCCCAGTGTCTGGCTCACAAGCAGCACAAATTTCCCTTAGGATGGAAAAAGCTTTTCTGGGAAGGAATAGGTGAGAGGGTCTTCAATTTGGAATCAGCTTTTCACATGGGCAAGAACAACTCCCACAAACAGGAAAGAATAGTACTTTGATGCTACTTGAGAACAAGCCTGTCTAGCTTAAATAGAGTGCTATTCTTCAAAAGACTTTGATTTAAAGCTTCTGCAAAGGGAAAGCAGGAGAGATGTGCTCACAAAATTCAGGATTCAAACCATCTTATTTAAAGATAGTTGAATGGTGTCTAAAGATATGTGTGTTAGAGGTTTTTACTATTGTGTTGTATTTTGAGTGGGAACAATGGAAAAATAAAATCTGTATTGCTATTTCTAAGTGAATTCTGGAGGTATATGCTCATATTGTACATATATTGCCTATTTATTTTGTGTTTTCTATCTCTAATTTGCAATCAAGTTGATTATGAGCTTTTAATGCAGCTTCTAAAGTTCTGAACAAGGCAGGAATTCTTTCTGCTTAAATTTATTTATTTCTTTATTGGGGCTTGCTTTTCTTTTAGCACTTCCTCTGTTGGTGTGAAACCTAAACCTTTTGGCAAGTCACAGGCAACTGGAAACGTTTTAATAGGCTTAGTGATGGCCAGCTACATATGTTGGCTTTAGATGTTTTCATGCTCTGCATGCAATTAAGAACAAACATCAAGGTGTTCACTGAAATGATAGTTTCCATGGACCTGTCAAAAATTACTGCACTGGCACTCATTTGCTGCTGCTATCGGTTCTTGCTTTTTTTAATTGGGTCTTCCTTCTCTTGTCCTGTCCTTTCTTTCCCATCTCCTTTGCCTTTTTCCCATGTGGTTGGGGTCTTGTTGTGCCGACTCAACAGTATCTCCTCCTGCAGAGTCCATTGATGTTCACAGACCAAGCTCAACAGGATGTCATCATGGTCCTAAAATTTCCATCCAACTCCCCAGTAACGCATGTAGCAGCCAACACCCAGCCTAGTCTGGCAAATCCTGCTGTGATTACTGTCACTGCTAACCGACTGTTCGCTATGAATAAGTGGCACAACCTTCCTGGTAAGTCTGAAGATATTAACACCTAAAGAATGTGTGTGACCCGTAGGCATGTTCATGGCCCAGGCTTCCTTGTTTGTCCATAATGGGCTGGATCTTTAAAATCCCAAATGGAGTTCTGCTAGAAATACGGGATTTTTTGTTGAGCTTGCACATTGTGCCTCCAGAAAAGCCAGTCCTGAGAATAGGAGGACCCCTGGGAGCTAGTGAAGAATAAGTTCACTAGCTCCAACTAGTGAACTACAGTAGGGTAGTGTAGTTGGAGAAAACTGGCAAATGTCAGGAACACAATGAGCTCTTTGGATCCAGCCCACTACGTTCCAGAATGCCTGTCTTAGCTGCATATTCTACTAATTAATCTCTTACGTTTCAGGCTCTGTTAACAGTAATTTCAGAAAGGTATTTTGAAACAATTTTTCAGTAATGTCATGAAATAATGTGATAGAATGCAAAGCCACCTCTTTATGATAATAAAATGATGTAAGAACTCATCAAGATTTCTACCTTGTTCTTTAGAATAAATAGCCTTTACAAATCAGGGCATAGCTGACAAGTTACTAAGAAATATGATCTGATTCAGTCTTGGCTTTAAGCTCTTTTATAACAAGTTTTATCAAGAAATTGGTTGTCCTTTGAGGACCTGACTGGATAGACATTACTTTTTAAGTATTTCTGAAATCAAATCCAGGAACAATATTTGCACCCTGAATCCTAATTCTCTACCTTGCAGGAAGAACTGCAGAACTGTTGTCTGATGGCTTCTATCGTCATTGGTTCCCACTGTCTATTTGAATTTGTTTTTATTCCATAAACAATACAAGAGTCTTTCTGCCTCCTCACTTAAAGAAAGCTCTATGTAAAGAAACAGGATCTCTTTTTAGACTCTATGTTTGATCCCTATGAATTTCTGCATCTCCTTTCTCTTTTTGCTTGTTATAGCAAAGGGTTTCCTCCAATTTTCTGAACATTATGACAGAAAACAAGCAGCCATGCACACCTTGGTAACTTACTATGAAATGTATCTGAAAGCTTTGTTAAGCTTTTTATTTCCAATGCTGTATCAAATGATTATGGCAATTGCACCACATAGTCATAGGGAGAAGTGGAATGTCTTTCCAGTTGGCAGGATGCTGGAGAGAACTAGTTTACCTTGTGGACACATGTATAACTGGGCAGGATACCATTTGGTAAAAGATGGTCTGCATGCATCCCACATCTCTAGCTGCTTTCTGCCATACTGCTCCCTGGAGTGGTCTTTTTCTGCAACATGAAATTCACCTGCAAGATACTGCCTGCTACCCAGTAACCCTTCATTACCCCTTTTTATTCTTGATCTCCCTTCTTTGCTGTTCAGATTATAAACCCACAATTTCAAAAATGTTTCAAAAATGTAAGGACAGTGAGGCATCTAACATGAGCTATATGTAGTCAAGTACAATTGTATGCCAGCTTCATTCTGCTTAACCAGTTTTACAGCCAAAAATAGCTTTATGCCCATATAGGCTAGAAACTTAAAATGTGTTGTCATTAATTCAGATTTTACTGATGCAAGACTTTTGAATTCCATAAGAAATGTGTAATCATTCCAGCAATGCTGCTTTTATAATAAGCATATGCTTTGCAAAATACATGTGAAAATGTGAGATACTGCACATGTGATTTTTATTATGTTAGTTTCCATTTCCGGAAGCTTTCACTGACATTTTGAAGTGAAGGCTCTGGGAAAAAAGTAATGTGTTTAGCATCAGCAAAACAAAAATGTTTCAGGTACAAAAATTGTTCATACATCTACATAAAACATTGCAGTCCAGAAATGTATGCACTGTTTAGATGATGGATGAAATATTTGATGCCATGTGATCCAGAAATTCCTTTCTCATTGTTATAAAAATAATATTTTAAAACTTTAACAAGTCCTTTGTGCTGTGCTGTTCAAAGTATTTTTCCCATAGTCAGCAGATGGTTGTCACATTTTGTTTTCAGTGCTCTTTACCACTTAATTTTGTTTTGTTGCAACATGAGAGCCTGCCGGTCAAGCATCTGCTCTAGCTTATGGGCCAGAGCTGGAACCTCTGACGATGGCACACATTGAGAATAACAATAATCTAAAATACATGTAATAAGCAGTCCTTAAAAGCACCTGGGTTTGGTTTTTTTTTGGTTGATGGTGTTCAATAAATGGAAGAAACTTCTATTGTCCCTGTGAAGCAATGGCACATAGTATTTGATTTATAGGATATTGTGTTGTTTTAGTGCCTGAAAATAACACCATTTTTAAATCTTTTCTCGTACATTCTAGCTCATCAAGGTGCCGTACAGGACCAGCCATACCAGCTGCCAGTGGAAATCGATCCTCTCATAGGTCTGTCACTTCCTTCTCTCTTTGCGATTCATTAAGCTCTGTATGGTGGCCCTGAAGTGTAGATTACGGTTGTTTTTCACTTGCTGGTTGCTGGGAATGGAATTTTCCTGATAAACCATTTGCATGCAAATTGGAATGCAATGAGCTGTGGCTATGCTGGTATTTCATCAACTCCCCCTCATTGGTTTGCCTAATTTGAACAGGCCTAGGACGTGTGTCAGTGAAAATTAATATGGATGCCGTAATAATGTGTGATTGAGAATGCGCATGAAGTACTGTCAGGATAATATTGGGTCTTTTCATCACTCAGACTTGTTGATGAGCAAGAGCGAGGCATGTTATGATGAATTGGTGCACCAGTAATGCGGTGGAGCTCCTTTGCTGAAGAAATTTTCATAATAACAGTGGGATTCTTAACACCACCGTGTTGCAAAAAATAAAACTGTGGTGGCAGAATTTCATCATTAAGGGAGATCAATCCTTTCTTCACAGGCCTGCTGTTCGGGCTGAGGAAATGAATGTGTAATTGCAGAGCAGTTCCAAAGTTGAAATATATTGCTCAGGCATTTTTAGTGTTAAGATATTAGTATTCATTTTTCTAGAATATGGCAGACTTCAGAATCAGAGAAGCAGGAAGATGGGTTCTTAGCTAGATGAATCTTTATAATGTTTTCTATTTGCAAGTGGCTTATTATGGTGGTACTCCTTGTGTTGCCAAGAAAAAAGGTGGGCAAGCTTCTTTGTAAACCTTTTTAATGCATTTGTAGTATGACCATCATACTTAAGTACAACTTTCGGATTAGTATATATCACAATGTTGGAAGGTGTTGTGCTGCAGTTTTCAAATATAAAATTGCTCATATTTAACTTGTCAAGAGCACTACAATTTAGTTTCATAACCCTTTCAAAATTCATCTATACTTCTATTTATCAGAGTAGCCTTTTATGTGATCTTTAGTTCCTGAATATGAATGAAGCATTATAGTTAATTTTAAGAACCAACTGCAGTGCTACAAAATATTGTATATTATTTTATATAGCCAGGTCATACGTGAATATCAATTTAACTAGCATGGCAGAATGAATAATTTATGAGATTATTGGTAACTGATTTTAGTATATTTATAGTAAGAGAACCATGTGGCTATTCCATTTATGTTCACTTTTAAACCTTTCAGGCATTGGTCTATGGAATTTCTTGGTGCAAGGTAGAGGTAGTTCTGAGTTCCGATGTTTGAATCCAAATACTGAAGAGCTGCACTTTGCTTTGTAGCATGCTACCTCTCAGATAAAAAACCTTATCATATTCTGCCTGTCGCCTAAGAGGTCTTAACCTGGCACTGAAATATTGGTGCAGGGCATGCCTCAATAAGAGGGGAGCCCTCAAGACGTCCCCTACCCCTTGTTGCTCCCTTCTCAGCCTCCCTAAGAATAGGCACCTGAGAGAGATTTAACTCATTAAAATAATCTTAAAATTTGACTTTTAATGATTTCCTCAAGGAACCTCATAGCTGAAAATTTGAACCACAAAACTAGTCCTTTGAACAATTTTATATTGCCTTTTTGAAGTGTGCTTTTTTAGTTATCTAAGGTGCAATCGTGTATATGTTTAAAGAGAAAACATTCTAAAACTCCAAGTGTACCCCTCCTGGCATGAGAACTTCCTGTTGTCTGAACATAATATTTTACCCTACTCCCTTTCTAGCTACCAAAAATATAGAGTGAATCTGAAAAGAAAGGCCAGTTCAAATCCCATTGCTAAACATTCTTGGTGTTAAAACATATGCTTATTCACACATAGAAGAAGCCATATACCACCCAGAGAGTTTGTAAACCACACAGAGAGCCCTCTGGGCTTTTAGGGTGGTATATAAATGCAAATACTAAATAATAATAAATAAATAGAAGGCACAAGCATGACCATATAAAACTGGCACAGTACAGAGATGTTGACTTATTTGGAAACATGAATATGAGCACTTTACTATGGTGCCTGGAATGTTACATCCTAAGTGGGAAAGGCACAAACCTACATATAACCCTGCAACACTGATGTTACATTGTTGTTGGTGTTATCTTCTGTACAGAGTTAATACCAACCTATGTCCTCAATCAGTGCCTCTGATGTCCTCAAGCAATGCCTCTGCATATCAAGACTGATGCTCATAGCAATGTGTATCTGCAAGAGTTATAACTCTCCTGGTTTATTTCATTGGATTAACATACACTATAGTTAAGTTTCCATATACTACTGGTGGCATTTAGGTATGTAGGTAGTGACTTACAGAATTTATTTCTTGAAATAACATGGACAAATGGTAGCAAAATAGTGGGGAAGAAATGGAAGACCCTAAAAATAACAGCAGCTCTAATTGATTTAACGGTAAGTGCATCAGTTTTGCAAGAAATTATACCTTCATTTGCAAGGATACTAAACTATGATCTTTTATCTCTCCTTTCCTTGCCCTTCTAGCCAGCAATACAGGTGTGCACAAGAGGCAGATCACTGATCTTCTAGACCAAAGTATTCAGGTCCATTCCCAGTGTTTTGTCATCACTTCAGATAATCGCTATATCTTGGTCTGCGGGTTTTGGGACAAAAGTTTCCGGGTGTATTCTACTGACGCAGGTAAAACACCAATCTCAATATAATGCTAGCCCCACACCCACCCACCCACCCACCCACCCACCGAAGACTCCGAAGAAGGATTTGCTTACTCTTGTTATTTCTGTGTACAACATACACCCTTCCAGTTTTTTTTATTAATTTATGCAGCAAATAAGCTTAGGCACATATGTAAACTTATTTTAACCTTTTAAAAAATGGAGAATATGGCTGGTTGATCTGTGTCCTCCAAATTATTCAATGTGGGGCACTTGGCATTTCCACAAATACCCCAGTTCCTTAGAATATCTACCTGGCAGTGTAGAGTGGAAGGGAAGGGAGAATCTATTCAGCTAGCACGCCGGTGGATAGACACAATTAGTCTTAGGCCTTTGTTTCGCCAAACCTATCTTGCCTCCTTCAACCTCCTTTTCAGGTTACAACTGTGTGACAGATTTAAAATATAAACCTATGATTTCCTTTCTGGTATGTTTGCAAGAAGTTTCCATATTGTTTAGTTCCATGGTTCCTCAGATACGTGATCAGGAATTCCTTCCATGTTTATATTTTTAGACATTTTTTCTTAAAAGGAGGCTTAAAACATAATCAGTGAAAAGTCAGTAATGATAGTGCATTGAATACTGCCAATCCTTTCAGTTTGAGTAGATTCAGAATGTATTCATGACCATGTGGTTTGAGTTGTATATAAGACATAAGTCTATTTTTTGAGAAAATGAATCTTTGAGGATCTCAGTTGATGGTAAGGGAGGCACAGTTCCCTTTGCCTCTGCAACTTCCATCTTCATTGCTTTCCCTCATTCCTGCTCTCCTACATTCCCACGGACAAACTTCTAGACAAAAGAATTTCATTGATAAAGACAAATCTTTAAAAATATGGATTCTGTAGATTCAATAGATTATTGAAAATGTTTTAAGCTTTTAAAATTGGTTTATCTAATCTAAATGGACAGTAATTTACAAGATCATGTTGTGGAACATGTGAACTAAATGCATACTTTAAATCATGCTTTAAAAACCCTTCAAAAGTGGAAGAATCATAGAGATTAAAAAAACTACCCCAAAAACATGCTGGCTACACTTTTATAGATCTTTCTTGGGCCATAATATTAAGCCTGGTCTATGCATATATCAGAATCCTCATTTCATTAAGGGGGTTATTTATTTATTTATTTATTTATTTATTTATTTATTTATTTAAAAGCTTTTCTATCCCATCCTTCACTGATATAGAATATATTTAATATACTGTATGCCAGTTTTTTATTGAAGTGGTATTGTATTGTCACTATTATTTTTATTGGTAAACTGTCTTGAGATTGCATTGAAATGGTATATTAATGTGTTAAATAAAATAAAATAAAAGGTCTCTAGTATTTCAGATTGTGGGTGGAAAATACCATTGGTGCATTCCTCCTTGGAGGAAATGGTTGCAAATTAAAAACAAAAAAGATTCTAGTTTATCTTGGAGAAATACTCTAGCCTAACCAGGTCCCAATTTTCCTAGCTTTTTACTGGCTTGAATATTTTTTAAATTAATGGTACATTAAAAATTGGATCATCCACCTACACTCTGATGTGGTATTGTCTTTGTACCTTTTCATCCCTCCCAGCTTTTTACTGCATGTTTAGCCCAGGGCTATGTCTTGAACATGGATGTGAGACTAGACATACTGGTCTATAATAATCTGGGATATAAAGATGTTGCTATTAAATGTGCCCTTGGACAAGTGTTTAATAACTATCAAAATGTGCTATTTGAGACACATGTTCTCAGTTGAAGTCTATTGACTAAATGTTGGGAGAAGAGTATAATGTCAAATCACTTTGCTTTCTAGTCTGAATCCATTATTAACAAGAAGTGTATGCATGTTTAAAAACAAAATTTTTATTTTTTACTGTTTTATTAATCCATGTGAAGGGATGCAGTCTTGTGCTTAACTCACTGTAACACATTGAGATTGACCATTGTGCTCTCATGTATTTTTTGTAAATGGTTAGCAAATGGTGATAGAAACATTATAGTAAACGTTCAGCAACACAATCCACACAGGCCCTCCCGAACAGCTCCTCAGAGGGTCCAGGGACCAGTGTGGGAGGAGGTGGCTAGAAAGCATTCTTGCACAGATAAAGCTTTCTCAGGGTACATTTTGGTGCATCAGGCAGAGAGCAGTAGGTGGCATCAGCCTCCTCCACTCAAGATGAAACGCAAAGTAGCCAAGCCTAGCTAAATCATTTTAACATATTTTCTATTTAGCAGGAAATTGCACAAGCACCTTTCCCCCTACCTGGCAGTAAAACAAACAACACACACACACACACACACACACACACTATAACAATTGAAAAAGCTAACCATTTCCTGCACTTTCAGGACACTCAAGGTCTGTCACCTTTGGCAGCTGCTTCAGTCTCCCTAATGGCAGAGCCAACCCTGTATATCCTGGATCCAAAAACCAATGGGTTAAATCCAAACTTTCATTCAACGGATTTCCACTGCTTTTGGAGGAAGGGGGCAGGGACATTATCCCCCCCCCACCCCACACACGCATTTGCCCTTTCCAGCCTCAGTAACACTTCTTATGCTGTTCCAGAAGTTTATGGCCCCTCCAAAGCAGTGCAGGAGATGGCTCAGGATTAGGGGAAGGGGGATTCTGAAAAATTGCCAGGCTGCCTCTTTCTTCCATGGGAAGCTTCCAATGGATTCTGATTCCCTATACAAATAAAAGGAGGGAAAGTATAGGTGCTATTGAATGTACATATATTCCTCTCTACTGGAAAAATAACAGAATACTGTGGCATTCCAGTTAAGACATTGTGAAGGCAAAGAATGACTGTGCATTATTGTTGCACATTCAAACATTCAGCACAAGTGCCCTGGTTAAGGATAAGGTAACTGACTGATAAACAATTAAAAATACAAAAGAAGTAAGTCTGTTTTTGTTTCTAAAAAGCTCACTCCATCTGCTGCATTTGTTTTTACCATGAAAGTATATTTGGTTGCAATTTTATATTATGTAACATAACCCCCCAAAATGTGCAAATAGGGTGGTGGAGTTGAACAGGAAAAGATGATGTGATCAGTAATAGGTAATGGCAAGCCATCACAAGTGTTGGATTCAATTCATACGCAAAAAGAACCTTTTACTTATTAGATTTCATTGTTGGGGGGAATGGATTGAAACAGGAAATACCTTGGACATAAATCATGCTTTCTGAGTAGAGCTTGTACAGCAGAGCCACAATAAAACCGTCTTGCAGTGGTGGATATTATTTGCAGACAGCTCTTTAGATTCTGTAGTGCAAAGTCTTGTGTCCGATTTTTTTTATTTGTAGTACGGCTGTCAAATAAAACATTAACTAGAAAATTTGTTCTGTCAAAAAAAGGATATCCTAGTGCATAGGGTGGTAATTGATATTATGATGTAAAGTGCTGAACTGGTATTAAAGCAAAAAAGTTGAAGCACTCTTATGAGATTATAAAAAAGTAATTGAACATAGAGAGGTGGGAGAGACACTTCTGATGGCTGAACAAGACTGAACGATTCCTTGAGCCCCCCTTCTGTTGGGAAAGGGCCACAGTTCATTGTAAAATTAGCACTTGAAAAACTGCCAATGAAGCTCTGGAGAGTGTTTGTTTTGTTGGACTGAACCTAAAGGCAGAGGCTAACTGAGATGGTAACCTCATGTGTTCACACCTCTCTGTGAATAAACATAGAATACCAATAGTGTGTGCCAATTAGGAAATAGAAGTAACAGTCTTGCAGCACCTGAAAGACTAACAGATTTATTGTAGTATAAGTTTTGTGTTTGTGTGTGTACCAGAACTCACAGAAAGTATGTGCATTAGTATTTGAATTAACAGAAACTGAGCAAACAATCAAAACAGTATCTTTCATGCTCCCAATTTAGGGAAATCTGGGCATAAGTAAAGCAGAGCTTTTACTGAAGTTCTTGAATGCCACTCCTTTGTACTACATTGGCAATAACTTTAAAAAGAATTCTGCAAGTCTGAAAAGTTATGCAACTGGTAGGGGTGCGGGGTATGAACAACAGTGAAAGCTGCAGCTGTACATGCCTTTGCAAGAAGCACTGCAATGAGACCTGTGCCTGCACTCTGAGAATGAGTAAGATAACCCAGGGTACAGTCCTTATTGCTTCTCTTGCTGGTCAAGGCCCTCTATATGTTTGATACTCTGTAATAGCAGGCATTTTGCTAGTCAGACATCTGCTGTTTTACTTTCAGAAGATATATCAAGTTCATACCAATACAAATTAAAAAGAGGAATCTGCACAAAATAATCTGCACAAAGGTTATTTTAAACAGTTGTTCCAAAGTTATTTTAATGTATTTGTGTGCCACCTCAGAGTATTTTTTCTATTTTGAAAGGCAACCCAGAAAGCTCTAATTAATAATGTAGTATAATCTTTTATACTAAGGATGCCTAAAAGGTTCAATTTCAATTGACAGACATGAGAATATTGTTGAGTGTTGATCAGTTTTAATCCCTAAAAGAAAATATGTCTAAAAGCGTGTACCTAGTGGAGAGAGAGTATAAACTCAAGTGCTTTTCAGACAGAAAGCTCCAGGTTCATTCCCTGGGATCTTGTGTTAGCATGTTTTTAGCTAGCAGTGCCGGAAAGGATCTCTGCTTGAAACCTTGGAGAGCCATGGTGATTTGGTGTCAGTGAAGGTTCACTGTGATCTGACTGCCATTTGGTGGCTCAGAATGAGGCAGCTTTGCTAATGTGTAGCAGTGCTCTATGTCTGCATTTATTTTTCTGATCATGTGTTTGCTATGGGCTGTTTTGTGTATTCCAGGAAAACTGATACAAGTTGTGTTTGGACACTGGGATGTTGTCACCTGCCTTGCACGCTCTGAATCCTACATTGGAGGAAATTGTTACATTCTCTCAGGGTCTCGTGATGCTACCATGCTGCTCTGGTACTGGAATGGAAAAACCAATTGCATTGGTGATAACCCAAATGGTAAGGGAGACCTTTGTTGCTATGTTGCATACAAACTCCTTGTATGCAATGTTCAGGCACCATTATACCTGAATAATAATTGGGATGGTTATAGTTTCTGTGGACTTCCATTGTGGGCGGCATTCTTCCTAGCTTACAGGCACTGTGTTCAGTACTTCCTAAGGGTCCTTACTGTAGATGTTCTAAGTGGAGTCATTGGCTCTGTAGGTAATGCTGCTTTTGTGGATATTTAAATTATTCACCTCTGTCAAACCACAGTGATATCCTTGTGGCATAGAACAGATCAAAAAGGAAAAATTGTCTGAATTATTTGGACCAACAAGAAACTGGTGTATTTTGCATTAGACGAAATAGCAATGAAAATCTTGTTAGTAAATATTTTCTGGTTGTAAAACATTTCAATACCTAAGAGCAAATGCCATATGAAATCCCTGGGGCCCCAAAAATTCCCAAACAGCACAAGATGTTTTTCCGTTCTTCTGCTAATTTTGTGCCTGTCTAATCCCCAGTGATTTTGCTAGTACAGCATGAAGAGCAAAATGAGGGGACTCCTTTGCTCCCTTATATTTAGCACTAATCTCTGTCTCCCAAGGAATGGACAAAGGGAGGGAGGGAAGAACATTTGTGTGCATGTGTGTCTCAGTGTGAGGTTTTGTCATATTTGGCAATCGTTGAAACTTTCTGTACCATGGATATTCAGTGCTTTATTTTTTGCTATCAACTTCAACTTGGGTTCTAATTCAATTACATTATCATTAAGTGAAATTCTCAGGCTTAGTAAACAAAAATCACACAATAGGGCAAGGTTGAAACACTACTGATCTCTTTATATTTAATGTATAAACTAGCACAGGCTTGGAACAAAATATTACACATTTTATGCTCCAGTTTGATGAGCTATGATAAGAAATATTTAGCCTCATCAAAATAACAAATGCATTTGGCATTGTTTTATAGACTTAGAAGAAAGGTTTTGAGCTCTCTTGGGTTTCCTCAGCATGAACAGTTTGAATATACAAACTGATCTTCTCACACATCAAAGTGTTTTGATTTAATTCCCTTTAAAATTAATTACATGAACATCATGTCTAATTTAAGACTGTTTTGTGGAAGCCTTTGGCAAGTATCCTTTGTTTAATTTCTACAGTTCTTATTGCCAAAAAAAATTTAAAAATTGCAGTCGATCATCAAGCATCCTAGAGTGACATCTACTGGCAATTACTTGGAAATTCTACAATCTAATCCTTGGCATAGCAAAACTGGTGATAGTTTTGCTTGAGATACTGAAGTATCACAATCTTATAACCAGCATTGTATTTCAGAGCAGCCAGGTATCACAGTTAAGCTTCATGGCTGTATATTGTATTTTGTCAAAGTCTTCACCTGGGAAGTATATCCATCTTCATGAATCATTTGGCTTCAGCAAGAGCCAAGTAGAAAAGTTTGGTTCCACATGTGACAAATTGACCTCAAATGCACACAGTTTATAATAGAACACAACCAGGTTACATCTTGGTTAGTCAGATTAGGCATATAAATATTGAGGTTGTTATTGGTCTTCTTTTAAACTTCTTGTAATAATACTGAATATATTTATGTGCTTCTCAACCGTGTTACACTTTTCATATCTGAAAATAGCCAGCGATTAAATTGTATTTTGCTACTTGATATGAATTTTTCTCCATTTTTCCACTGAATACTCAAAACATTTATTTCACCAAGCATAATCTCTTAAAGTTTCATACTGCTGTTTTTACTTGTCCAGGTGTGAGGCCATCTTGGCAAGTACACAAGAGAAGGCCTTTTCTGTTGTGGCCCCACACCTCTGGAATGAGTTGGCATTAGGAGTTTGCTAGGTTTTCCTCTGATCTGCCATTACAAGCTTTTAAGAAAGCTTTTAAGAAAAATGTCACTTGTTTATTCTGGCCTTTGGCTGGTTATGTATTTATCAAACTGGCTTGTATTTATAATTGTGTTCTAGGTTCCATTTATGTGATGTGTGTATTTTACTTTGTGGATCTTTTTTTGCTTTTATTACTGCATTGACTTTTTATTAGGTAGGAATTTTGTTATATGCATTTTATTATTGTACGTCAGCTGGGAAGTACTCCTGCCTTGAAAGACTGTCAATAAATAAAGAGGAAGGCAGTATCAAAGAAACACACAGGGGCAGGGCAAGCCATGTTGTATGGCACTGCACATATGGAAGAGCTGCCACATAGGTAGTCATCCAGTTCCATGTGTTGTATCTTTCTATGATTAAATTTGAACTACTTTATAGTACAGGGTGGCCAAACTGAGGCTCATGAGCCACATGTGGCTCTTTGAATTTATTTTGTGGCTCATTGCCGGGGTGCCCTCTTGCTGCTCACTGCTGCCACCTGTGGGTGCCCACTTACTGCCTGCTGCCACGGCCAGGAGGCACCCGCTTCCAGCTCTCAAGCATCTGACACTTAGCGTAAGTGGCTCTTCCAATGAGCAAGTCTGGCCACCCCTGATGTAGCAGTTTAAAAATGAGAAAAAGGGAGTAGAAGTAGGGAAGCATACAGGACAAATTATGTGATATGTATTTCAGAATCATAAGTGTGATGAGCAGGATTTTCTGACTAAAGATTTAATTTTGGGGTAGCAATGACTTTCACTTACTTTATCAAGTTTTTGTATTATTTTCTATATGCCTTTTGAGGAAAGGGTTGTTTATATATCTGGATGGAGAACCTATTTTATATTCCGCGTTAAAAAAGGACCTACCCTACTTAATGTTCAAAATAGATGCAGCTTCTACCTGCTTATATAATTAATTCATACTCACATGTGTAGTTATGTTTCACAATCGTCTGTACATCGTGGAAAAGTGTTCACCTGGAATGACGAATCTTCTCTCTGATGAATCGCTTGGAGTATACAAGGGCCAGGGGATGATGACTCTTTCCTGATGAATCACTTGGAGTGTACAAGGGCCAGTGTCTGTTGACCCCCTTATCTTCTTACCCCGAGCTGCAGTCACAAACGCCTATAATGGTGGTTTGCTCAAAAGAATACTAGCATTCTAGCTCTGTTTTAAAGTAGACGCAGATCAGCCTTTCAGTGCTGCTGTGTTACAACTCAGGTGTCACTGAAGTGATACTCATGAAATTCTCCAGAAAGACCAGGATGGTTTAGTGCTCGATGATGTAATGCAGGCCTTCATGTTCTAGGCAAAACAAGGCTCTGTTTACTGCTTGCAGCCAATGGTAGATGATGTAAAAGGAATAATAGTCAGATGGTAAATGAATAAAAGTATAATATATACCATATGTGTAGTGCTAGAATAATAGGTTCACTATATAACATTCTATGACTTTATTAGATACTCCACTCATACTAGCGTTTCCCATGAAATTATTGGGATGGAATAACAAGATGGAATTAAGGGTGTATCTTGCATTATCTCTGTAGATGCATTTTCTTTTTCTGCAGATGAATTGGTTGGTGCTTTGTTTTCAGTGAGCAAATAAACTAAACTTCAGAGTACTTGAATTTTCTCTTCAATTATGTCAAGTCTTAAAGTAATAAGAGAATACATAAGATTGCTCTAAAATGGGGTATAATGAGGAGGCCACTTAATGTGAATGTTAATACTGGCCTTGCTGATTTAACAGAAAATGACTTCGATACATATTTTAAATCTTAAGTTTGGGTATGGGTTCAGTACTAGTTTAGATTATTTTTAGTGACCAAAGCAAAAGTCCTCTGAAAAATATTAAAACCTTTATACTTTAATCATTACTTTGTATTAATAGTATGCTTTCTCAATTTGTTGTTGCAAATCCTTTTAGTTTTAATGTACAGTTTTAAAAGCACCAGTTTAGAAGCAAGAGCAGTTGCAAAAATCACAGACTGCATATGAACTTTGCTGTTGTTATATATTAAAGTACCAATGCACTATTGATGGTCTTATATCCCAGTTTTTCTTCATGGTTTTATTTGTGCACACCTTTTAAGCAAGTTTTTAATCAAATTTCTAGTTAATAATGTTGCACAGTACTTAGAACTGTATGTTTTCTAAGTATATTTTTATTCATGTTTCAAAGCATAATAGCAACCTGCTACCAATCTCAGTGTTACTGAACCAACCATATAATTGTTTCATATTTATACATTTCAGAATTAGTATACATGTCTTCACTTCCTAACTTAATATTGTGAAAAATCTTCATAAAAAGTCAGGATATAGTTCTTGCATGCATATGGGTATAGCACATGCAGTGTGGTTCCAGTGGAAACGCAGTATTTAAGACTTTCTTTTTAATTGATCATTTGAAAATTGTTGTGGTCTGGTGGGCTGCTGCTGCTGTTGTTAGCATTCTCTGTTGTTAATATCAGTGCTGTATTATGAAAATTACTATTTCTAGGCCAGGGCTTAGCTAGCATGTTGAGTTATTCCACTTTGTCAAAAATATCTAAATTGCCATCATAAAAATAAATCAACCAAGTGAAAAACCAAATAAAGATTTTTAATGGCTTCAGAACTTTTCTGCAGAACATCTAAATGAGATTCATGGACCATAGTTATGATAGTCTTACATTTTGTCATAAAATATAACAGAACCCTGTTTTCCCATGTCTCATTCCACACACACTGCTCGTATTCCATGGCTGAATGCAAAAAGACGGGCAGGGGTATGAGATATGTGCCCAGACACTCATTCCCTGTAACAATTCGGCATGCTTTCTGTAAATATGCCTGTTGTGTGCCATCAAGAAGGAGAAAGGTGGAAATTACTTTACATGTGGTTACTGTGCTAGTATGAAGAACTCTGTTCACAGCCAAAAAAAATCTTATTTGCTCCTTGGACAACCCCCTTTTTTTGCATTACAAGTTATTTTAAGGAGACTTAAACTAATCATGCCTGTAACTATTGTTTAACTTTTTTTACAATACTATTATAGGAGAATTCAGTAAAATATAGCAGGGTTGTTTTTTGTAATATTTTTGTTTATATTGAGAGGGTGAATGT